TTATCATGCCACTGTGTCGCCCAAATATGACAAGCATGCTTAGGGCAGATAAGTAGACCATTTTCCCATTAGAAGAGTAAATAACCAGTGACACTGATTTAATATAAGGGGCAGGAATGTTAGAGGGGCTGTGAGGAAGAACTTCTAATCTAAAGGGTGGTGGGTATCTGGAACTGACTGCCTGGAGGGGCTGTAGAGGCAGGAAGTCTCTCAACATTCCAGAAGTATTTAGATAAGCACTTGACGCACCAAGTAAGGTTATGGTTCTGGAAATTGGGACGAAAATACTTCAATGCTTGATGATTGGTGAGGACACAATGGGCCAAAGGGACTCTTTCCATCGCTGTCAGACTCTGACTTGGTGCCATCCAGTCTTTATCTAATAACAAATCACGACTTTGCAACAGTGATCATAGCTGAACATCTAGTTGACTTTCCTACTGATTCCTTTCCTCCACTGGGTGCTGAGGATAGTTGCAGCAGCTCTGACTTTGAGTCAAACCTGGAATCTATACTTAGCCAGTCTTTATCTTGAGACCTTAACCTATTAGCAGAGTTTGATGTGTAAGTGTTCCTGTAAGTATCGCTGTACATCTCTACCAAAGATCTCACCACATAACTCAAGCAACATTTTCTTTGTGTGTAAAAATGCAATAAGACTGACTCTATATTCTGTCAAATACAATTTTAAACATTTTTTAAATATATGAATTAGGTACAGGAGCAAGAAGCTTAAGAGCTTTTAAGCTCCTTGAACCTGCTCTACCATTTAGTACACTCTCTTGGCTGATTTGATTGTAACCTAAAATCTGCATTTCCACCTAGCCTGAAGACCTTTCATCCCCTTGTTTAACAAGAATCTATTTACCTCTGTCATAAAAAAAATTCAAGGATTTGACTTTTTAGTCATTGAGCACAAGTTCCAGCCTCTCATGTCTACTATGTCAAGACTGCTCAGGATCTTGTGCTTCAACCACGTCATCTACTCTTCCAGCCTCTGCTAAAGTTTAGAAGAAGAGGGAGACACCATAATAAGAAAATTAATGCCTGAAATGTAATAGGCTATTGTAAGAATTCCATTGCAATTTGGGGGAAAAAAGGACTTTAATAATGCTACATTTGCTTTAGAAGTGTTGTGATTAATACTAGGTTGTTGTTTTTATGGCAGACATACCATCTTGGTTTTGAGTTTGGGAGGGGAGCAATAGCCCTATCCATATTCTCTTACCAATCTTTGCAGTGTCTTCTGCCCAGGTGTTTTTGCAGTATTATTAGAGAGAGAATTTACATTGTACTGGCAGGTTTGCAGATAAAATCATTCTGGCTTGAAATGCAAAAAGATAATCAAATGATGCATTATTTCATAGTACGCACAAAAACAGAAATTGCTGGAGAAAGTCTGGCAGCATCTGCTGCAGACACCTTCTGTAATTGAATGGGAAGATGCTGTAGGGTTGTTGGGAGTGGATCAGGGTGTTCCAGAAGGAACAGTCTCAGTGGAATGCTGACAGGGAGGGAAGGGGAAAATGTCCATTGGTGGCATCCCACTGGAGATGACTGTTATGATCCTTTGGATGGGAGGCTGGTGGGGTGAAAAGAGGCTGGGTGAGGGCAGAAGTGTGGGAAATGGGTTGGGCATAGCTAAAGACCCTGTTAACCGTGGTGGGGAATCCTCTGTGGAAAAAGGTGGACTTTTGAGGCCCCCTACGAGAAGTGGCATTATCACAACCGATGTAATGAAGACCGAGAAACTGGGAGAATGGAATGGCGTCCTTTACAAGAAGCAGGGTATGAGAATGTATAGTTAACGTAGCTGGAGATGGTGTGTTTGTAATTGGTATTGTTGGCTAGTCTATTCCCAGAAGTGGAAATAGATGTCAAGTAAGGGAAGGTTGGATTCAGAGATCAACCATGTGAAGATGAGAGCAGGGTGGAAATTGGAAACAAAATTGAATTTTTTTATTTCCAATTCCAGACAAGGGAGGGAAGCAGCTGATGATGTCATCAATGTACCGCCACCAGACACTCCTTCCCCTCCCCTGTCAGTATTCTGTAGGGATTGCTCCATCCAGGACACGCTGACCCACTGCTTAACTCCCATTGTGCCTTCCCATGCTGTCACAGAAGGTGTGACACTTGCCCATTTGCCTCCGCCCTCCTCCCTCCTCACTATCTATGGCACCTTGCAGGTGAAGCAGTTATTTACCTGTACTTCACTCAATCTAGTCTACTGTATTCATTGCTCACAATATGGTCTGCCACATTGGAGAGATGAAGCAGACTCGGTGACCACTTTGCTCAATTCCACTTGTGGACCACTTTGTCCATAAAAATGATCCCAAGCCTCCAGTTGCTTGCCAGTTCAACATGGCACAGAGTTCTCTGGCTGACATATCTGCCTTGGGCAGTGCTCCAACGAGGCCCAGTGCAAGTCAGAAGAGCAACACCTCACCTTCCACCTTTCAACCTTTCACTAATATCATTGATCTGGTTGTAGTCTCAATTCCAGCATTATGCTGTATATCCCAGTTTGCCTGTCTTGTTAGTACTATTGCCGAATGGTGTCTAGCCTCCTTGGTTTACAATAGTAATTTGGACATATTGCATCATAAAGTACAGACTTTGAGGTTGTAGTCTGTCACCAATCTCTCCAGAATAATTAGGAAATATCTTTTTTAAATGTGGGCGTCACTGTTAATGCCAGTATTTGTTATCCATTCCTAACTACCCTTGAAGATGGTGGTGACCCCTCTGTACGGTGTAGAATTTTGATCCCACTGTTCCAAGTCAGGATGATGTGTGGCTTGGTGGGGAAACTCGCAGAAGGTGATGTTCCCACGTGTTTACTGCTCTTGTCCGTCAAGATGACGGAGGTCACAGAACTTTTTTTTGTTGAAAATTTAATGGCAGTGCTGCACTGGTCTTGGGTTTGGGTGGTACTGTCCCAAATGAGCATTGGTGAATTGCTGGAGTGTATCTTTGTGTATTGCACATACTGCTGCCACTGTATGTCAGTGGTGAAGACATTGAATGTTTAGATTGATGGATGAGGTATGAACTGCTTTGTCCTGGTGTTGATGTTGAGCTTCTTGAGAATTGGAGCCCTACTTACCCATACAAGCTGATAGTATTCCCTCCTGCTCTTGTTGAATTCGGACTAATGCCTTGTAGAGAGTGGACAGGTCTATTCATAGTATTCCAACTATTAAAGGGTGGGACATTATTTTTAGACCTAATGCTAATTTCCTGTTAATAAGGTCAGAGTGGTACAAGATGTTGAAGTAAAATTTATCTGTGTAATAAGTTCAGATTTTGCAATAAGCAAAGACAACATGTTTAAGAGACAGACCCGTGCACTTGTCTGGACATAGAATTTGTCATTGTATGGCTGTGGGTGACTGGCGAAGTATTGAGTAATGTAGAAAGATGAGAAAAGGGAAAATAATTAATAATCATCTCACAACTGTCAGGAAGAAATAGTTCTGTTTGAATTTTCGCAGCCCCTATATTTGCACAATTTGTCTGCTTGTTCCTATCTATTTCATCCCTTTTTAGCATGAGCTGACCCTAACACTAATGAATGAACCCTCTGGGTCACACTTCACTGGGTATCATGCTGGAAATCAAGCCCCATTACTCATGGAGTCATCACAATAGTTAAAGATTTTATTAAAGTCTGCAAAATTCCCCAATTTACCTGTCACTTTAGACTGAATTAATAGTGTTGACCAGGTTTCTGTACTTAACCAGAATTACCATTTATTACAAATAAATAGACTCTAATTACAGGGAAACAGTTCAAACTGTAACCCCCTTATTAACCTTCACATACCCACAGAAAGACACAAAAACATTGCTATTGTGGCTGGAGGGATAAATTGGGGATACAGTTCAATGGTCCCCATCAACAGGGTTGCCTGATGTGATCCTTTTGGTTTGTCAGCACTTGCTGTTTCTTGATCTCTCCCAGGTATTTTTGCTTGCTTGCAGGATGCACAGAGTGATCACTTTGCACTTCTCAGCACTTAAGCTTATCTGCTACATATCCACTAATACATCAACTTGTCTATGTCTTTTTACATTCAGCTTGCATACACACATCATGGTTAAACTCACATTAGGCCATTTGGCTGGAAGGTGCGTTGGATTACCTGCTGAAGGCCATTATATGAGAATAAGATCCTTTTAATAACTTCATGCTCTATTTTGAAACATAAGAGAATTGAGTTTGGGAAGGGAGCAGAAATCTGTTGTTTCCTGTCCAGCTGCATGTTAGGACAAATGCTGCCTTCAGGAAGAGTGGGATTATAATGTCTGGATTGCTGGATTGAAGTTGATAGCACTGGGTTAACAAATCCCTGTTACCTGCACATTTTCTGTATGTATATCTAGTTGACGAATTTACTAACCATGCACCTGATGCATGTTGCCTTTATCAGTTTGACCATCAAAGATTGAGGGTGAATATATTCCTTTGTATTTGAAGTGCATCAAAGCACTTCTTAATCTTATAGTCTTAAACAGTAATTGATTTGTGAATCCAACATAAGGATTTATTCAAGTCTTAGGAAAATTCTGGTAGAATCATTGGCATGTTTTTCTGAGAGTAATGTCTCAAATCTGACGTTTGTAGCGGGGGAGCATGCAGGAAATTGAAAGCAACGATGAAAATGTTAAAATTGTGGTGTTGTCCGATTTTTAGGAGCTAGTTTAGCTCAGCAAACACAAGTGATGGGCTATCAGACTTGCTGTTCATAGAATGTCAATAGCACAGTTTTGGCTAAGTTTAAGTGTATTTCTTTACATCTAAAATGTTTCTGCAAACAGGTTGTAAAATCAATGCCATCCTAATTGAATGCAAAGTAAAGAGATTGAATGAACATATCGTTGTGTAAAATGCTTTATACATAGCATTTGGCAATAAACCAAATGGTTGTAAAATGAAATCTTCCTGTTTACTCCTTTTTGTGCAGACTCGTGTCTTTTTTTTTCCCATGCAGTTGAGTGTTGATTATTGACCAGCTTATGTGAGCTAAACACGATATCTGTTTGAATATCGTTCGTCGGTACTGCTGGAATTGCATTGTATCTTTTGCCTAAATGTCTCTAGTGGATTTGGGGAAGAAACTATTAGAGGCTGCACGAGCAGGCCAAGATGATGAGGTCCGTGTCTTAATGTCCAATGGTGCTCCTTTCACAACAGACTGGGTAAGTAGAGTATCTATACTTACATTTCATGTGTTTTGAACAGAGCCATAGAGTCATTCAGCATGGAAAAAGATCCTATGGTCCACCTATTCCTTGCCGATTGTTCCCAAACTAAACTAGTCCCGCTTGCCTGCATTGGCCCATATCCCTCCAAACCTTTCCCAATCATGTACTTGTCCAAATGTCTTTTAAATGTATGTTACTGTACCTGCATCCACCACTTCATCTGGCAGTTCATTCCACATGTGTATATTTTAAAAAAAACACTTGCCCCTCATCCTTTTCAAAACTTTCTCCTTACCTTAAAAATATGCCCCCTAGGTTTGAACTCCCCCCACCCTAGGGAAAGGACCTTTGCTATTCACTTTATCTATGTCTAACATGATCTTGTAGATCTCTACAGGGTCACTCCTCGACCTCCTACGCTGTAATGGGGAAAAAGTCCCATCCTATTCAGCCTATTTTTATAACTCAGACCCTCCATTCCCAGCACCATCCTGGTAAATCTTTTCTGAACCCTCTCCGATTTAGTAATACCCTTCCCATCGTGGGATCACCAGAATTGTACTCTGTACTCCAGAACAGGCCTCACCAACATCCTATACAACCTCAACATGACATCCCAATTCCTATACTCAATGGTCTGAGCAACGAAGGTAAGTGTGCTAAATGCCGCCTTAACCTCCCTGTCTACCTGTGACACAAATTTCAAAGAATTATACACTTGAACCCTTGGGTCTCTCTGTTCTAATGCACTTTTTGTAATTGGTGTTTTGCTAAGTGACCAAAATGAGTCAGAAATGAACATTGAGCTGAGTGGAGAGAGAAAAGCTTCACTTGTATGGCAAGTTACCATAGTTATGGTATTGAACCAGCAAAGGTCCATGAATTCCAATTGCACCAGTGTCAAATAGTAAATTGAACTCCATAAAAATGGCCCACGCACCAAGGTGTTTCACATGATTCAATTCCATCCGGATTCACTTCTAGTGCCTTCAGTCCCCAGTGAAAGATGGCTAGGACGTGCATCCTAAGAATATATAAGCAAATCTGTGGGTGCTATTGGGTGTAGCACAATTTGCCGCCTGAATATCTGAAATAAGTAAAAATCTAGTTTACATAATATATCTTGCTACAAGTATGTCAATGTTGATACTTTTATGGATGCAATGAAGGAAGACACTTGAGATAACATAAAGCATAGACTTCTTCAGAGTAACAGCAACTACATTTATTCAATGGTACGATTTTGCTGTTGTTTTAGTGAAGGCTGGTATACATCATTAACAATGAGGTGTATTCATGAGTGAGGTGATGGCCTAGTGGTATTATTGCTGGACTGTTAATCCAGAGACCGATAATGTTCTGGTGGCCCAGGTTTGAATCCGCGGCAGATGGTAGAAGTTGAATTCGATAAATATCTGGAATTAAGAATCTAAGGATGACCGTGAATCCATTGTTGATTGTTGGAAAAACTCATCTGGTTCACTAGTCTCCTTTAGGGAAGGAAACTACCATCCTTACTTGGTCTGGTCTAAATCCAGACCCACAGCAATGTGGTTGACTCTTAACTGCCCTCTGTTTAATTAGGGATGGGCAATAAATGCTGCCTAGCCTGTGAATGAATTTTTTAAAAATTCAATAATAGTCATACAGCACTGAAACAGATCCTTTGATCCAAGTTGTCCATGTCGACCAAGTTTCCCAAGCTAATCTAGTCCCACTTGTTTGCGATTGGCCCCGTGTCCCTCTAAACCTTTCCTATTCATGTACCTGTCCAAATGGCTTTTAAATGTTGTAACTATACTTGCCTCTACCACTTCCTCTGGCAGTTCATTCCACATACAAACCACCCATTGTGTGAAAAAGTTACACCTCTGGTCCTTTTTAAATCTTTCTCCCCTTGCCTTAAAAATATGCTACCTAGTTTTGAACTCCCCAACCCATGCCCTTCACGATTTTATAAATCTCTGTAAGGTCACCCCTCAACCTCCTATGCTCCAGTGAAAAAAGTCCCAGTCTGTCCAGCCTATTTTTATAACTCAAGCCCTCCATTTCTGGCACCATCCTGGCATATCTTTTCTGAACCCTCTCCAATTTAAGAATATCCTTCCAATAGCGGGGCAACCAGAGCTGTACACAATACTCCAAAAGTGGCCTCATCAACGTCCTCATCTCAACATGACGTCCCTACTCTTACACTCAATGATGTCAGCAATGAAGGCAAGCGTGCTAAACGCCACCTTCACCACCCTGTCTACCTGTGATGCAACTCTCAAAGAATTATGTACCTGAATTCCTAGGTGTCTCTGTTTGACAGCATTACCCAGGGCCCTACTATTAATTGTATAAGTCCTACCCTTGGTTATTTCACCAAAATGCTATATCTCACATTTATCCAAGTTAAACTTCATGTTCAACTTGGTCCAGTTGATCAAGATCCCTTTGTAATCTTAAATAACCTTCTCACTGTAGACTATACCATCAAATTTAGTGTCATTAGAAATCTTACTAACCATGCCTCCTAAATTCTCATCAAAATCGTGTATATAAATGACAAACAGTGGACCCAGCACCGATCTTTGCTGAACACTACTGGTCACAGTCTCCAGTCTGAAAAACAACTCTCCACCACCTGCCTGTTCTCCTACCGTGAAACCAATTTTGTATCTAATTGGCTAGCTCTCCCTGAACCCAATGTGATCTAACTAATCAGTCTACCATGCAGAACCTTGTCAAAGTCTGTATTAAGGTTCATGTTATGACATTTATCGCTCTGCCTTCATCAATCTTTTTTCGTTACATTCTCAAAAAACTCGAGTCTGTGAGACAATTTCCCATGCACAAAACCATGCTGACTATCCCTAATGAGTCCTTACCTCTCTAACTGCATATAAATCCTGTCTGTCAGAATCCCCTCGAACAATGTGCCCACCACTGATGTCAGACTCACCAGGCTTCTCCTTACATCCCTTCTTAAACAAAAGCACAACATTACCCACCCTCAAGTCATCCGGCACCTCACTTGTGGTTGTAGATGATACAAATATCTCTGCTAAGGGCCCTGCAATTTTCTTCCCTTACTTCCCTGAATGTCCTGGGATACACTTGGTTCCAGAGATCTATCCTCCTTTGTCTTGTTTCAAGACCTCCAGCACCACCTATGCTGTAATGTGGATTATTTTCAAGACATTAGTATTTATTTCTCTGAGTTCCCTAGTCTCCATATCTTTCTCAACAGTAAAAACTGATATGAAGTATTTGTTTAGTATCTCTCCTATCTCCTGTGGTTCTACACGTAGACAATCTCATTGATCTTTAAAGGGCCCTATTCTCTCCCTAGTTACTCCCTTGCACTTAATGTACTTGTATAATCTCTTTGGATTATCCTTAACCTTGTCTGCCAATAGTATCTCATTACCCCTTTTTTGCCCTTGTGATTTTTCTCTTAAGAATGTCCCTACACCCCTTGTACTCTTCAAGAGATTCACTTGATCCCAGTTTTCTATACCTGACATATGCCTACTCCTTATTCTTGACCAGAGCCTCAACATCTTTATTCATCCGTTGTTCCCTACTCTTACCAGCCTTACCCTTCACTCTAACAGGAACATAATGTCTCAATTCTTGTTGTCTCTTTTTTGAAAGCCTCCCGCTTGTCAGTCATCCCTTTACCTGTGAACAGTCTACTCCAATCAACTTTTGAAAGTTTGTCTCATACCGTCAAAATTTGCCGTACTCTAATTAAGAACTTTAACTTTTATACAAGGCCTATTCTTTTCCAAAGCTATTTTAAAACTAATAGCATTATGATCACTGTCCCAAAGTGCTCCCAATCTAACACTTGCCCTGCCTTATTTTCGAAGAGAAAGTTAAGTTTTTTGCCCTTTCAGTAGTGGGTACATTTACATATTGATAAAGAAAATTATCTTGAACACAACTAACAATTCCTCACCATCCAAGCTCTTAACAATTTGGCAGTCCCAATCTATGTTTGGAAAGTTAAAATCCCCTACTTTTATAACCCTATTATTCTCGTGTATATCTGCAATCTCCCTGCATATTTTCTCCTCAGTTTCCCTCTGACTATTGTGGGGTGGGCTATAGTACAATCCCATCAAGGTGATCATCCCCTTATTTCTCAGATCCATCAATGTAGCTTCACTGGACTATCCCTCAGAAATATCATCTATAAGTATAGCATAACGTGTTCCCTCATCAAAAACACCACTCCCCTCCCCTCCCCTCCCCTCCTCTCTTGCCTCCCTTTATATCCTTCCATAGCATTTATACCCCAGGACATTGAGATGCAGTCCTGTCCCTCCCTTAGCTATTACAGAAATACGACTATCATGTTCCTGTCCCATGTTCCCATATATGCCCAGAGTTCTTCAGCTTTACCTGTAAGACCCCTTGCATTGAAATAAATGCAGTTTAATTCTTCAGAGTTAACCTCATCCTCTGACTTGCTCTTGTTTGTCTTTTTTCTAATTAACTCGATCTCTTTAACTTCAGAACTATCCTCATCGGTTTTTTAAAAAATTTTCACTACTACTTAGGATCCCCCAGTTCCCCTCCTTTACTAGTTCAAGGCTCCCAAATAGAATTAGCAAATCTCCCTGCCAGAAAATTGGTCCCTCTGCACTTCATTCTGCTTCATGTTCTCAATAAAATTATTTTCCTATAATAAACTAAAGTGCTGCAGAAAGTCAGATGTTTGGAGGAATCTGTGGAGAGAGAAAAAGTTCACTTTTGGAGTCCAATATGAGTCTTCAGAACTGAATGGGACTGGAAAATGATGTTTGTTTTTATACTGTTGACAGAGGGGAGGAGCAAGTGGAGCAGATGATGAGGGTGCCCAGTGGAAAATGGTTGTAAAGTTACCAAAAACACTCCGTTGGCCTTTTGTTCTGGGGTCCCTCACTATCTGTTCCACTTATTCCTTCTCCCCTCTGTCAACATGATAAAAATCATTATTTCCAGCTCTTTTCGATTCTGAAAAAAGTTGTATTGGACTTAATGTTAACTCTGCTTCTCTGTCCACAGTTCTGCCATACCTACTGAGTTTTACCAGCATTTTCTGATTTAATTTCAGATCTCCAGGAACCACTGTAGTTTGTGTTGATTTTAAGTTATTTTCCTAGATTGTTGATTAAAGCAAGTGTGCTGCCTTTTTATGCAAAACAAAAATATATAGCTGTGTGGATGATGGTGAGGAGGTTAGCTGTACACTGCAGGCAGGTATCTGTGAATTGGTCAGGTGGACAGGTGAGTGGCAAATAGATTTGTATCTAGTGAAGTGAGGTGAGGCATTTGGGAAGATTAAACAATGCAATGAAACACATAATAAATGAGAGAATACTAAAGTGTAAAGGAGTGAACTTCCATGGTCTCTGAAGGCCAATGAGATGGTTAAGAGAACATATGGAATCCTTTCCTTTTTATTAGCTGAAGTATAGCATGTAAGAACAGGGAGGTTATGCTGGAACTGTATCAATCAGTAGTTAGGCCATGACTGTGTGTAGTTCCTGTCTTTCTTTCTTTCTTTCTTTCTTTATTCATAGAATCTGGACATCGCTGGCTGAGCGAGCACTTATTGCCTGGAAGACAGTTAAGTGTCAGCTACACAGTTGTGGCCAGACCAGGCAGGGATGGCTGTTTTCTTCCCTGAAGGACATTAGTGAACCAAATTAATTTTTTTGACAATCAACAACAGTTTTATGATCATCATTTGACTCTTAATTCCAGATTTGTATTGATTCAAATTCCGCCAAACACCATGGAGAGATTTGCAGAACCTGAGTCTCTGGATTAATATTCTAGTGATAATACCATTTAGGCCATCACTTCCTCACGAGGTCACCTTATTACAGAAAGGATCTAATTGCATTAGAGAGGGGACCAAGGAGATTTATAAGGATCTTGCCAAGATTAGAAAGCTGTCACTATCAGGAAAGATTTGATAGACTCGGCTTCTTCTCATTGGAACAGAAAAGGCAGAGGGGGCTTTGATTTGAGGTGTAGAAAATTTAAGGTGCTTGGGTAGAGAGGAGGGAAGGACCTGTTTAGCTTATCAAAGATATTAGTGACCAGAGGCATAAATTTGAAATAATTTGGTAGAAGAATTGGAGGGAAGTTGGTAGGGCTCTGGAACTCGCTGCTTAAAGGTAGCAGAGGCAGAAACACCCAACTCATTTCAGAGTTGTCTGGAAATGTTGTGAGTGACATGGATGAATTGTGGTCTTCTCTTTGTTCTTTATTTTTTTTTAATGGTAAACTTGAAGTGTACAGCTAACCTCCTCACCATCATCCACTTTATTTTTTTTAATGGTAAACTTGAAGCAGCATTAAAATCTATAAATTATGAACTAATATAGTATTTTCATGCTTTTATAAATAACTCCTATTTAGTGACTTGGATAATGTTATGGCATCTGATATTGGAAATGTTGAATGCAAAGCTCACGGGGCATGAATATTCATTTTTAAATATTCAAGCAGTCGAAATCAAATAAGGCCCCTTGTGTGAAATTATAGTTTTCATACAACTTTTGAGAAGCTTGGCTTCATTGCATTTAAGATACTGAATCACTTCATCTCATCTACAAAATCATTGCTGTAACTGAAATAGGTGGGGATGTTGTCATTCTTTTGTTGGCTGTTTTGTAATCCGTTTTTTTTTTCCTGATGTTACAGCTGGGAACATCACCCCTTCACTTGGCAGCTCAGTTTGGTCACTATTCTACAGCAGAGGTGCTGCTTCGAGCTGGAGTGAGTCGGGATGCGAGGACCAAAGTGGACAGAACGCCTCTGCATATGGCAGCATCAGAAGGCCATACCAGCATTGTTGAAGTGCTTGTTAAGGTAATGTTAGAAAAATAATGGTGAACAATGTCAGCCTTGGCTTGGTGTTATGCTGTATGACTTCTGTGACAGCAGCTATTGGTTCTGTTTCCACCCTATAAAGACATTGACACATAATTTCTTGTTCGTTGTGTTGTACTGAGAGAGTGCTGATTTGTTGAAAGTGCAGCATTTTGGGAAGACATTGGTGGAGGCTCCACTAGCCATCACCAATGATGTAAAAAATTTCATTGCAGTATTTGGGAAGAAATCCCCTACTCTTCATATGAATGTAATAAATAGGAACAGGAGCGGCCATCTGGCCCCTTGACTCTGCTGTGCCATGGCTGTCTTTTGGTGGACTCGGCTCCACTTACCCGCCTGCTCACCATAACCCTTAACTCTTTTACTGTTCAAAATCTATTCATCCTTGCCTTGAAATCATTCAACGAGGTAGCCTCAGCTACTTCACTAGGCAGGAAATTCCACAGATTCACAACCCTTTGGGTGAATAAGTTCCTCCTTAACTTAGTCTTAAATCTGCTCCCCTTTATTTTCGAGGCTATGCCCTCTAGTTCTAGCATCACTTGCCAGTGGAAACAACTTCCCACTTCCATCTTGTTTATTCCCTTCATAATTTTATATGCCCCTATAAGATCCTACTGCCTCATTCTTCGAAATTCCAATGAGTATAGTCCAGGGTCTACTCGATCTCTCCTCCATAAGCCAATCCTGTCAACTCCAGAATCAACCTAGTGAACCTCCTCCGCTCCCTCTCCAGCGCCAGTACATCCTTTCTCAAGTTAGGAGACCAAAACTGTACACAGTACTCCAGGTGTGGCTTCACCAACACCCTATACAGCTGCAGTGTATCGTAGGAGCAAATTGTTACAGATCCTGGAATCTGTACAGAAAACAAAGAATTCTGGAGATCACAGTGGGTCAGGCAGCACCCATAGAGAGAGAGCAAGCTAATGTTTTTAGTCCAGATGACTTTTCATCAGAGGTCTGATTTCCAGCATTTTTTATTTGTTTCAGTGCAGCATATCCTCCCTGTTTTTAAACTCCATCCCTCTAGCAATGAAGGACAATATTCCATTTGCCTTCTTAATTACCTGCTGCACTTCCAAGCCAACTCTGTGATTCATGCACAAGGACACCCAGGGTCCCTTTTTCACTAATGCCTAAGCTGACATTTTCCCTTCAATCCATCTCCTTAAAAATTTAAGCAGAGATGAGATTCTCAGATAGTGGGACCATGCTCTGTGCAAAGTGATTGCCATTTTTCCTTCATTACAACAGGGATTAGCTATCAAAGTGTGCTGAATTTGCTGTGAGGTTATTTGAGATATCCTAAAGTCAAGCAAGGCATAATAGAATTGCAAGCTTTTCATTATTTGGACATAACCCCATTGTGAGCAAACTAAACCTCATTGACTGACTGAGCAGGTTTCAACATTATTTCCTATGCTTTATGACCTAAGAATCAGTGTAATAGCCATTTACTGAACTACCTCCCAGGTTTGAAAGTCGCAGTCGTGACCAGAAGTGAGCTGGACTCTGTAATTGGGATGTGATCTAATCATTTATAATTGGGAAAGATTTCACCATATTGTGTTGAATGTTTGTTGTTTTGGAATTTAGTTCTGGAGATTTCTATCTGGAGTAGGTGAGTAACCAAACCAGATTTTACATTTAATGACCTCCAATGAATATTTAAAATCTGTGAAGTAGCGCTCATGGTGATCTGGTGAAGCTGTTTCATCCAAGGAAATTACTTAGCTCTTCGCCCCCATTAGCAGTAAAACAAATGATTTTGATTATGTTACAGTATTCAGTTTTTCACTGTAGTTTGGCATTTTAAAACTTGTTGAGTTGAGTATATTAAAATGAACTTGAATCTTGATAAATAGATTATTAAACTTGTTTTTATCTCTAAGTATGGTGGGATGTCACTTTGAGCCTGATCATCACAATGATGACCTCTTTGGCCATTTTGGGCAGGAGACAGGTTGGAGTTGTTGGTTGGTTCACCAAGTTGACTGGTTTTTGTGCAAACATTTCATCCCCCTTCTAGGTGATGTCCTCAGTTCTGTCTAGCCTCCGTTGAAGCAGGAAACAACAGTTTATTCAGCAGATTAGCATCTCCATAATAAAACCCTTGCTGTTCAATGCTTCAGCCTTCTGGTCCTTCTTGTGACTTAACACGAAGGCAATTGGCATTGAGAGTAAGATCAGTGCCAAAATAACTTACCATGTGCTCTACCCTGAAAGAACACTGAGTAACAAGGGAAATGCCTGAGCAAGGAGTGTAGACTTGAAGAAACTGGCAGCCTCAAAAAATGACTTGTTTTAAACAGGAAGAAGTAAAGTAGTGCTAAACTTTTTGTGGTACATTGTGCTAGGTGGACCCTTCCTATTTTAACAAGAATAGTGGGAGATTTTAGCACCACCACTGCACCCTGTGGTGAAAATACAGAGAGCTGGAACTCTAACACAGAGATTCCATTATTTTGTTCAAGCTAACAAAATAGTCAAAGGACACAGAAGGATATAGATTGCAGATTTGGGCAGAGAAATAGCAGATGGAATTTAATCCAGACAAACACAAGGTGATGCATTTTGGAAGATCAAATTTGGGTGCGAATTATACAATAAACGGCAGAACCCTTACGAGCATTGACCATCGGGGTAGCGTCCTAAGTCCAACCATCTTCTGCTTCATCAGTGACCTTCCCTCCATCATGAGGTCAGAAGTGGGGATGTTCGCTGATTGCGCAGTGTTCAAATGCAACAAGATGTGGACAATATCCAGGCTGACAAGTGTCACACGAATGACCATCACCAATAAGAGACAATCTAACCACTGCCCCTTGACATTCAACAGTATTACCATCACTGAATCACCCATTATCAACTTCCTGGGGATTATCATTGATCAGAAACTCAACTGGACTCGCATAAATGCAGTGGCTACAAGAGCTGGTCAGAGACTAGGAATACTGTGGCGAGTAACTCACCTCAGGACTCCCCAAAGCCTATACACTATCTATGATGCACAAGTCAGGAGTGTGATGGAATACTCCCCACTTGCCTGGATGGGTGCAGCCCCAACAACACTCGAAGCTTGACACCATCCGGGACAAAGCAGCCCGCTTGATTGGCACCACATCCACAAACATCCACTCCCTCCACCACTGAAGCTCGGTAGCAGCAGTGTGTACTATGTACAAGATGCACTGGAGAGATTCACCAGGGATCCTGAGACAGCATCTTCCAAACCCATCACCACTTCATTCTAGAAGGACAAGGGCAGCAGATACATGGGAACACCACCACCTCCAAGCTCCCCACCATCCTGACTTGGAAATATATTGTCGTTCCTTCACTGTTAGGTTAAAATCCTGGAATTCTGTTGGTAATGGCATTGTGGATCAACCCACAGCAGATGGATTGCAGCGGTTCAAGAAGGCAGCTCACCACCACCTTCTCAAGGGGCACCTAGGGATGGTCAATAAATGCTGGCCCAGCCAGTGACGCCCAGATCTCTCAAATGGAAAAAAAAATTTAAAAATGGCAGAGGCATCCGGATGTACAGGTCTACAGATCCCTGAAAGTAGCAATGCCAGTGGATAAGATGGTCAAGAGGCATACTGTATGTTTGCCTTCATCGGCTAGGAGATCGAATGTAAAATTTGGCAAGTTATGTTATAACTGTACAGAACTTTAGTTAGGCCAAATGTGGAATATTGTGTGTACTTATAGTTGTAACACTACCAGAAGGACATGGATGCTTTGGAGAGGGTGCAAAGAAGGCTTACCAGGATATTGCCTGGTCTGGAGCATTTTAGTTGTGAAGAGAGGTTGGATAAACTCAAATTTCTTTTACTGGAAAGATGGAGGCTGAGGGGCGACCCAATTTGAGATCTACAAAATTATGGGAGGCATATTGAGGGAAAAACCATTGACTGTCCACCCTGAGTGGACACGGAGGGCACAAATTCAAGGTGAGAGGGGGAAACTTTAGGGGAGAAGTGCAGGAGAATTTTTCACCCAGAGAGTGATGGCTGTCTAGAATGCATTGCCAGTTGAGGTAGTGGAAGCAGGCATGTTAGCAATGTTTAAGGCATATCTTTGTTAGCCTCCTGTTCATGGATCTGTTGAGGGATGGATAGTTTATGGGCAATAAGTAGCAGGTCTAAAGAAGGATTAAGAATCGGTACAGGCTTAGTGTGCCGAAGGGCCTGTTACTGTGCTGCATTTCATTGCATATTATAAACTTGAAGCAGGTAGATTTGTCCTTGTGCTTGAGTATAATGGGAGGATTAACTTTTAACCTCCTGAGCTGTCTGGTCTAGCTCGAGTAACTGGGTTTCTAAACTTGAGAAATGAGGATTGTACGGAATTGTTTTTCATCAAAACTGTGTGCTTGTTGAAAGGTTCAGATTCCACAAACATAACCAGCATCTTGGTGAATCTACCTCCCAGTTTGTAGCAATTTTAAAGAAGTTGGATACAACTTAAATGATATTCTGTTTCAGACTGGTGTGTGGTGTAATGTGTGAAAGTTACTGATGGTAAGGAACCTAACCCTGAAGAAAGCTCTGAATAAGTAATCTCCATGGAAAACTAGCAGCCATGGAAGTTCAACGGCTATACTTGAACATTAGAGTTCACAAAATGACAGTGGAGAGATGAGCACCGATGCAAACTCAACTGCCATCAGTGTAATGCAGCAGTAACCTGTGTGTATAATGAAGCTACATGTAGAAACTGTGGAAAGAAAAGACACATTAAACAGTGTGTTTGAGGAGAAACATGAACAACATTCAGTACAGCAAAAGTACGGAAACCAAGAGTACAAAAATGGCATGAGAAAAGCCCAGACTTTCCATCCAAAGAGGAGCTGTTTTTAAACGTATTGGCCATTGCTGGCAACACTAATAGATACTGGGCCATTCCCTTACTGAATAGCAAACCAGTAAAAACGGAGGTGGACATCAGAGAGGCAGTTTCATTGATTCATTTTTTTTTTCCTTGGTCCAATATTGAGCAGTTTGTGATTCGTACACATGACAATATTGTCTAGGTCTCACTACTCCTATAAAGACATGCGTAAACCATTTTACACTTATCACAAGAAGCTTGCTCCCTGCAGTCAGTTCAGTCACTCTACCCCAAGGTGAGCTTCCCAAACAGGTAATCTCCCATGCCATTCTCAAGGGCTCCCAGTCTCTTCAGGTCAGTTATGTAATGTCCCATCTCTTGGTCCTCTTCACTTGCTCATCCAAGTGACGTCTCCAGGAAGTCAAAGATGAGGGTCTGTGTTGCCAGAGGAGAGTTTGTGCAGATCTCAGAGACTCTGGTTCACATCCCACTCCATCTACAGAGCCTTTTGCATTGCCTCCAGACCATTGCTCCACTCTTCCTGCTCTGGCTTCTTGATGTCCTGCACGAGGACTCTGCCTCCACGTTTGCTCGAGAATTCCATCAGTTTTTTGGCATGTTTCCATCCCTCGTGGGACTGCTCCTGAAAGAACGCAAAGTGATGCAGGGCAACATTATTCTGGTTAAAGTAGGAGGATATGGAGAAGTAAACATAGGAAGAATAGAGCTCCAGACTGATCTGCTTGTTAACCGCATCTGTGAAGTCACTGTGGTAGTTTTGATGCAGCTGGGAGGCCATCTCGCTATTACTGCTCACTATCACCTAGAAAACTCTAGAACTGCTGGCAGTTTCTTTGATACCTGAAAGCGTGTGTCAGAATCAGCTGAGTCCCATTGTGCTGCACCCCTCCTAACTTCTACTCAGAGGCAAATGGTGCCATTAAGGGGTTGTATCAATGTGAATATTCAGTGATACATTTATACTGAAAATTTGTCCTTGCACATTGTCAAAAGAAATTCACCACCTTTTATTGGGAAGAATGTGGTTGGAGAAAATCAAAGTCAAACTCAACTGGGCTGAAATAAATCGCTTGTCAGATTCTGAGACTGATCTATCGCAAATTGTGAAGAAATATGCCATTGTTTTCGATGGGGATCTGGGAAGCATTGAAAAGATCAAATTGAAAATCAAGGATGAGAATGAAGCAAAATGTTGCAAGGCTAAATCAGTGCCTTATGCAGTCAGACAAAATGTTGAGGCAGAATTAGAGGCTGGTCAAGACTGGAATCCTTGAACCCATAAATATGACTGAGTGGGCTATGTCTATCATACAGTGTTGAAGAAAGATGGATCAGGGCACATCTATAGTGATTTTAAGGTTACTATTAATCCAGTACTGTGCTGAGCAGTATGCTTTTCCTTTATTTGAAGACCTAGTTGCTGGATTAGCTGGAGGTCAGCTTTTGAGCAATACAGATTTTGGTCAAACCTGAGTTACAGAAATATTTGATTGTAACACATACAGAACTATTCACTTTCCTGGCCTGTCCGAGACCTTCTGCAGCCTTCCTGCTTCCTCAGCAGTACCTGTCCCTTCACCTATCTTTGTCATCTGCAAACTTAGCGACAATGCAAGAATGGTTTTTAAATGCTTCCCAAACATATAGTCATTGTCATATGGCATGGAAACCGACCCTTCAGTCCAATCAGTCCACATCGACCGTGTTCCCACCTAAACTAGTCCCACCTGCCTGTGTTTAGCCTATATTCCTCCAAACCTTTTCCTATTCATGTGCTTTATCCAAATGTCTTTTAAATGTTGTAACTGTACCCACATCCACCACTTCCTTTGGTGGTTCATCCCACACACAAACCACTCTGTGTTTTAAAATTTAAAAATTGCCCTTCATCCTCCTGACTTCCCACTAATCTTCACCACCTTGTATACTTTTTCTTTTGCTTTTATTCTGTCCCTGACTTCCCTTGTCAGCAATGGTTGCATCATCCTTCCATTAGTATGTATTTTTCCTTCCTTGGGATGAATTTCCAAGGTCCTCCGGAATTACCCCCAGAAACTCATGCTATTACTGCTCCACCATCTTCCCGTCTAGGCTCCCTTTCCAGTCCACTGTGGCCAGCTGATCCCTCTTGACTTTGTAGTTACCTTTACAAGGCTGAAGTATAAATAGCAAGAGATTTATTATGGAGATGTTCCCACTACAGGCAGCAAGCTTAGAAAGAGCTGTTTGTCAGCCTAAAATGGCCAATGATATCATAATTATATCACTAGATTGGACTCTTAAAGTGATAATCTACCATACTTGCGCAAATACACAATATCCCTCCATGTTTATATCCAAAGGCCCTGTGCTGAAAATATTCACAACATTTACAAATATACTATAACAGTCAGTAGGTTAGACATTCCAGAGGACGTTGATTCACGTGTGGCTATTGGTGCACCCCAGCGCCTGTTTATTTTCTTTGTTTACTTTAACCATTTTTAGATGTACAAAGGAACATTCATCGTGACACTCTGCATCATTATCAGCTACACGTAGTGTTGGACATTACCTTTTGTATTTAGGGACTTGTAGAAAAGTGTAGCAAATGGAAGGATCATTGTAAACTAGCAAAACAGAGAGTAAGTTCAGAGGATCTGCGATTGGTGTAACAGGATACTTTCACCATGCAAATTTCATTTTATTTGCACAATTTTATGCAATCAGAAGGACAATAAGTGTCTGTTTTCCCACAGGTCGTTTTTTTTTCCCCCTGACACACATTCTCCCCTTACTTGACAGAATGGAGCTGACATAAATGCAAAGGATATGCTTAAGATGACGGCCCTTCACTGGGCAGTGGAGCATAGTCACCAAGATGTGGTTGAGCTCTTGATAAAATATGGAGCTGATGTTCACACACCAAGTAAATTCTGCAAAACAGCCTTTGATATAGCAGTGGACAATGAGGATGAAGAATTGATTTTACTGCTTCAGGTAATTAGTTAATAGAAGTAACATCACCCATATGTTCCAATTGATTTGTAATACAGATCAATTCAAATCCCAGAGGGAAACATTTGTTTGTTTGTAGCTGTTACACACCGAAACCTATTCACGTGAGGCTGCAGATGTTCTTTAAAAAGAAAACATTGTTTATTACACAAAAGGGAAAAACAAAAAGCTATATACCAGATTATATATATCCCCAACACTATCCTTTAACAGATTAATTTCTGTGAAATTTCACTCCTACTTCAATTCAAAACTTGTCTTAACATAGAACAGTACAACACAAAAACAATTCCTTTGACCCACCATTTCTGTGCTGAACAACTATGATGCAGTTCTAAACAAATTCCATCTGCCTGCACATGGTCCGTATTCCTGTATGCCCCGTCTGTTCATGTGAATGTCTAAATGCCTCTTAAATGTAGCTATCATATCTGCTTCTGCCACTTCCCCTGGTAGCGTGTTCCAGGCACCTCCCACCTTCTGCTTTTTGAAGAATAACTTGCCTCATACATCTCCTTGTAAACTTCACCCCCCTATCACCCTCACTTTAAATCTATACCACCTAGTATTTGACATTTCCACCCTGGGCAAAAGATATTAACTATCCACCTTGACAATGTCTCATAATTTTATATATATATCTATCAGGTCACCTCTCAGCCTCTGATGCTCTAGCAAAATAAATCCAAGTTTCTCTAGCCTCTCCTTTAAAGCAAGTATGCTGCAATCCAGACAACATTGGTAAACCTCTTCTGCACCGTCTCCAAAACCTCCACATTTTTCCAATAGTGTGGGGTCCAAAAATGCATACATAATTCCAAATGTGGTCTAACTGAAGTTTTATGCAGCTGCAAAATGACTTGCCAACTTTTATACTCTGTGTACCTTGACCAATGAAGTAAGGTTGCTGTATGCTATCTTCACTATCTTATCCACTTGTGTTGCCACTCTCGGGAAGCTGTGGTCTTGCGTCACAAGATGATTCTGTGTATCAATGCTCCTAAGGGTCCTGCCATTTACTGTATACTTCCCTCTTGCATTTGACTTCCCAAAATGCATTGCCTCACACTTACAGTCATAGAGTTGTACAGCACAGAAACAGACCCTAAGGCCTAATTTGTCCATGCCAACCAGATATCCTGAATTAATCTAGTTCCATTTGGTCCATATCCCCTCTAAACCCTTCCTATTCATATACCCATCCAGATGCCTTTTTAAATGTTGTACTCGTCCCAGCCTCCACTCGTTTCACTGACAGCTCGTTCCATACACACACCATCATCTGTGTGAAAAAGTTGCCTTTAGGTCCCTTTTAAGTCCTTCCTCTCTCACCTCACACCTGTACTTTCTGGTTTTGGACTCTCCACCCCAGGGAAAAGACCTTGTCTATTTATCCCATCCATGCTCCTTATCAACCTCTATAATGTCACCTGTCAGCCTCCAAGGCTCCAGGGAAAAATAGCCCCAGCCTATTCAGCCCCTCCCTATAGCGCAAACCTTCCAACTCTGGCAACATTCTTGTAAATCTTTTCTGAACCCTTTCAAGTTTCACAACATTCTTCATATTAGCAGGGAGACAAGAATTGCATGCAGTGTTCCACAAGTGGTTGAACCAATGTCTTGTACAAACACAATATGACCTCCCAACTCCTTTACTTGATGCACTGACCAATAAGGGCAAGCTTACCAAACACCGCCTTCACTATCCTATCTACCTGCGACTCCACTTTCAAGGAACTATAAACCTGCACTCCAAGGCCTCTTTGTTCAGCAACACTCCCCAGGACCTTGCCATTAAGTCCTGCCCTGATTTGCCTTTCCAAAATGCAGCACCTCACATTTAACTAAATTAAACTCCATCTGCCACTCCTCAGCCCATTGATCAAGGTCCCATTGTACTCTGAAGTAACCTTCTTCACTGTCCACTACACCTCTGAATTTTGGCGTCATCTGCAAACTTACTAATCATACCTCCTATGTTCACATCCAAACCATTTACATAAAGGACAAAAAGCAGTGGACCCAGCACTTGTTGCACACTGCTGGTCACAGGCCTTCAGCCTGAAAAGTAAACCACCACCACCACCATCCTCTGTCTTCTACCTTTGAGCCTGTTCTATATCCACATGGCCAGTTCTCCCTGTATTCCATGTGATCTAACCTTGCTAACCAGTCTACCATGAGGAATCTTGTTGAACACCTGACTGAGGCCCATATAGATCATATCCACCGCTGTGCCCTCATCAATCCTCTTTGTTACTTCTTCAAAAAGCTCAATCAAGTTAGTGAGACATGATTTCCCACGCACGAAGCCATGTTGAATATCCCTAATCCATCCTTGCCTTTCCAAATACATATAAATCCTGTCCCTCAGGATGCTGTCCAACCACCGATGTCTGGCTCACTAACCCTGGCTTTTCCTTAGCACCTTTCTTATATAGTGGCACTACGTTAGGTGTGGTGCCAGAAGACTGAAGGTTGGATGTCGCTGTCAATGATCCAAATATCTCAGCAAGGGGCCCAGCAATCACTTCCCTAGTTTCCCACAGAGTTCTAGGGTACACCTGATTAAAGTACCGGGGATTTATCCACATTTATGCGTTTTAAGACGTCCAACACCACCACCTCTGTAATGTGGATGTTTTTCAAGATGTCACCATTTATTTCCCCATATTCTCTATTTTCCATATCCTTCTCTGTAGTAAACACTGCAAAATACTCGTTTAGTATCTTCCCCCATCTCCTGCGGTTCCACACATAGGTAGACTTGCTAATATTTAAGGGGCCCTATTCTCTTTTGTCCTTCATGTATTTGTTGAATCCCTTTGGATTCTCCAGAACCGTATTTGCCAAAGCTATCTCCTGTTTAGATTTGGATTTATTTATTTGTCACACATACTAAGTATGGGAATACATAAGAACAGCGAAAAGAGCACAATGTTGCCATTCACTGGTGCCCACTTGGTTACAAAACCAGAATTAAAAGATTTAACAGAGCCAAAAGGTAAGTAAGAGAAAAAGAAAAGTCCAGATCTCAGAGTCCCAAGTCCCATCTCCACAATGGTGCAGGCACTGCTCCAATCGCTAGGACACCCAGGAGGATGCCAATGTCGCCACTGACCGCCGCCCCGCGCTCTCTGTACCGCCGGCCCGCTCTCTCTCTGTACCGCCGGCCCCTTGCCAGCCCGCTGTCACTGCCATCACTCCAGCTCACGCTTAATCCATCGTTGCTGCAGGACACGGCCCACACATTCAGCTTCAGCCACGCAGTTCCCCATCGTGACCTGACTCCTTCCCAACTGCTTAGGTCGGTAGTTAAAGGGTGGGTGAGTGAGCTGGGGAGGTTTTGGGAGGGGATAGAATTACTGCAGAGTGTAGAGAGAAGAAGAGGAGGGGAAAAAAATAAGAAAAAGGAAAGGGACCTGGTGAGCAGTGTGAAGCTCTGAATGGAGCAACTTACCCTGTTGCCATCTTTTTGCCCTCCTGATTTCCCTCTTAAGTATACTCCAACTGCCTTTATACCCTTCTAGGGATTCACTCAATCTCTGCTGTCTATACCTGACAAATGCTTCCTTCTTATTCTTGACCAAAACCTCACTTGCATCGTTAACCACCCTATGCCTTTCTCTGCTTAACTTCCCAACTTATCAATATTCTGCTGTATCCTTTGACAACCTTCCTCACTATCCACAACTTCACTAATTTTCCTGTCATCTGCAAACTCACTAGCAAATCACCTAGATTTTCATCCAAATCATTTACATACATATGTTACAAACAATAGAGGTCTCAGCCTTGTGGACCACTGGTCACACACCTCCAGTCAGAAAAATATCCTTCCACAACTGTTCGTTCTTCCTAGACCAAGCCAATTTTGTATCCAACTTACTAACTGATTAAGTCACGTGGGATCGACAATCTTCTGAACCAACCTATCATGAGGGACCTTGTCAAATATTTTAGTAAAGTCCACATAGACCACGTCGGCTGCCCACTTCAATCATCTTTGTCACTTCCCCAAAACCTCAATCAAAATTGTGAGACAAGACCTCCCCTGCACAAAGCCCTGTTGACTATTTGTAATAAATCCATATTTTTCTGAATGCAAGTAAATCCTTCCCTAAGAACCTTCTCCAATAATTTCCCTACCGTTGATGTAAGGCTCACTGGCCTACAGTATCCTGGATTATCACTTTTGCCCTTAGACAAAAGAACGACAGTGGCTATGGCCCAGTCTTCTGGGCCCTTGCCTGTGGCTTGCCAAAGACCCCTCCACCAGATAAACCGGCAAAACCCCAATAATGAGTGAAAGGGGAAAATTAATAATAATCGCAGAAGCTCAATTCTGTCACCAGTCTGTAACCACCAAACAAGAAGGTTGGCTCCCGAGTCCTTTTTTGGTGCAGCATGGTGGCTCGGTGATTAGCACTGCTGCCTCACAGTGCCAGCGACCCAGGTTCAATTCCAGCATTGGGCAACTGGGCAAACTCCACACAGACATTCTCCCTGTGTCTGTATGGGTTTCCACCAGGTGCTTTGGTTTCCTCCCACAGGCCAAAGATGTGCAGGTTAAATTGCTGGATATTCCTGTTCACCAGAGACTAGCTTGCTTTTCGTGAATTTCCTGGGATGCTGGTTAATACCGCTCTTATAAACCCATTGCTAATCCAGTGTCCCATTTAAAAGCTTACTTAATTTAAAAAATAATTCCTGGGCTGACAATGCACTCCAATCCTCTGGTACTTAGCTTTTGCAGAAGGCATCAAGAGTAACAGTGGACAAATTGTGCTCCCTCAGCAGGGACACCAGGGGTGGATATAACCATGGAAGAAAGGCAGGCAGTTGGGCAGAACCATGCCCTTGCCTGTGTCTGTAAATGGTTATCTTGGCCAGGGAGATTAACTGACAGGGTCACCAATATAATTGTCTGCTCCTTCAGTTAAGCAGAGGTCAGTGAAGCCATAAATTTAGTAACAATCAATTTATTTCTCAATGTAGCAGAAATGCAAGTGGCAGAACAATTTCTCTAAGATAAACCACAAGAAGTGTACACTTTTTTTTTATGCTCAATAACTTTCTCCCTTGTAATACTAGACAGCAATGCAGAACCAGAATAACACAAATTCTGACAGCTCTGATGCAATCATGGTTCATGATGCTGCACCACAATTCATTATTGGGCCTGGAGGAGTTGTCAATCTAACTGGACTAGTTTCCACTGGAACAACAAAGGCATCAGGTATGTTTGTCACTTTACATCTGTTTTGGCTCTCCATGCTATGAAGCCCTCTACATCCTATTTGGTCTGATCTTTGACTGAAGGTGAATGATTTTATTCCTAGACTGAAGTAATTGATTGGACTGGTCGGTAAACTTTATGGAGGTTTAGAACAATCTCAGGCACTGATGGCTGGGGTATGCATGTTTTGGTCACAGGATATAGGTAATCATTACTGAACTTTCCAGTGAAGCTAATAAATCGTTTTTCCACCTGTAATCAATGAGGTATAATGCTCCTGGTATTAAGAAACTGCATCTATATGTTGTGCCTTGTACATGTTCAAGATATTCCATTGTATTCAAGCCAATGGAGTATTTCTTCTGAACAGTCATTGTTGCAGGTAATGTGGCAGTGAATTTTTGTGCCCATCAGACACTCAGAGCCAATTAATGAATGCTTAAAAAATCTGTTTAATGATACTTCGAGTGAAAATTGCCCAAGCCAGCAAACAAAATTCCCTGCTTCTTTCAGATCATGCTATAGGATCATCTACCTAGGTGGATGAAGCCTGAATTTACACTTGTCTAAAAGATGATGTTTCTGATATTGCACTGAAGGCTCAATGCACAAGTCACATTGGGCCTTCTATCTATAGCATTCTGACTCTGAGGCAGCAACCTACCTTCAGAACCATGCTGGGAAAATACCAATACTTTAGTTACCCAAGTTTCACTTCCCTTTTTATGAGGTTGCATCTTGTTATCTATAATTAGCATGTTTTTTAAAGATGCTCCTAGACTTTAAACAGAAAATGTTTAATGGCCTTTAACTGACCTGTAAGGATGGTTGAATGTAAAGAATCAGTAAACCTCGGTATTGTGTCAGCCCCAGCAGGAGTGGGATGGGTGCTAAGGTATAATTGGGTTTGGGAATTTCTCTCGCTGTTCAAGATGCACGTCCCAAGCAAAGTCAAAATCTGAGCCCAGTTACATCATTGGTGAGCTCTTGTCGGGACTTTGCAGTGAGATCAGGACTCCAGTGTCCTGAATTTCCTGACCCTCCCCTTCTTAATATTAGTTCTGTGCCCCTGTGCTTTGTAGGGAGTCATTTCACTGAGGTGTCAGTGATTTCCTCTCACCCACTAACCTCATCATTGTGCTTGATGTGACTGATTTTAAACTACAAAATTATAATGCATGCTTGGGAGTGAAGATGGAGCTTTACTCTGTAACCACCTTCCCTGTATTAGACCATAACACCTGGGGGCCTGAAATTGGAGTGTACCACTTTCCAAACATGAACATTTTTTCCCTTTAGCTCAACTATACCACAGATAATGAATAGAAAATGATAAATCAGCTGATTTTCCCGCTTGATTCTGATTTGTTAAAATAATCCATCCAAATGCATAAATGTAATTTGTCAAGCTAATTAAATTTATGGCATTAACTATTTTTATTTTAAAAACACTGAATATAATTCAAATACAGCTTTTTTTAAAAACCATCATTCATCAAGTTTGGCTTTTTTAACACCATTCCAAAGATCACTGTTTTGATTAGTTTGAATGCATTTTTAAATGATGTGTGTAAGTATAAATCTTCAGTAACCTTTTAATCTAAGGATCATTTTTTTTTGTTTTAGAGCCTGCGGTACAATTTGGCAATTCCTCTACGTCAGTATTGGCTACGTTAGCTGCTTTGGCAGAGGCATCAGCACCACTGACACATACAACTGATGCACCAGGTTAGGAAAATGGCTGCTGTTTATTTTGCTAAACCATTCAGGGCACACCACTAAACTATAAAATGTATTCAAAATGGAAATCCTTGCACAGTGATCAGTACCCATAGTGTTATCTGTCTCCCTTGTAACTTACTACTGAGCTTTTAAGCTTTTCTTGGGAGAATCATTCAGTCACATGTTGATGCACCATTCTTTTCCATTTATGCTACTCGTCTCCTGCAACTCTCCATCTGTCACTGCAGGTATAACTTGCCAATGTTTATGTTTTGCATCAGAACACTGCTGATTAAAACATTTGAAAGTACTGTGAGGCAATAAGTTTTCCAACTCATTGATATCTCTTTGTTCAACAAAAACATGCATTGGTGATATTTATAAAATGTCCCATGCAATGGTCTAATGGTGTTCTTCACAACTAGGCTGCACACTAACCTTACTGTTTATTTAGTGGGCCATCAATGGCAGCAGTGGATCCAATGGCAGACATTTAAATGGACAGAAATCTAGGTCCACATTCTTGGCTGCATAAAATTAAGTCCAGGATCTCAGAATTTTCACATTAAGAAGGGAGGCCATTTGGCCCATCATGTCTGCACTGACTCTCTGAGCATTATAATTTGGTGTTAATCTCCTCCACATTTGTTTCTGTTCAAGTAATCGTCTAGTGTCTCTTTGCCTCCAATAGAAGCTGCCTTCACCACATTTCTTGGACGTGCATTCCAGGCTCTAACTATTTGCTGTATGAAAAGAAAATCCTCACTTCACATTTGCACCTGTTACTAATTACTTTCAGTCTATACCATCTTGTTCTCCTTTTCCAAGTGGGAACAGTATCTCCCTGTGTATTCTGTGCAGGCTCATCATAATTTTGAAAACTTCAATCAAATTCTCTCTCTCAGCCTTCTCTTCTGCAAGGATAACAATCCCAGTTTTCCAATCTGTTCTCAAAACTGAAGGTTCTTATCTCTGGAGCCATTCTTGTAAACTTTTTTTATTCCTTTCTCCAATGTGAGAAGTGTAGCTCCCAGAATTGTGTATAATACTCCACCTTAGACCTAACTTATCATTATGCAAGTTCAGCATAATCTCCTTGCTCTTCTAGTCTCGTCTCCCATTAGTAAAGCCTAGAATACTGTATGATTTATGCACTGTTCTGTTCATTGTCTTGCCACCTTTTAATGACTTGTGCACACACACACACCCAGGTCTCGGCAGGTTTGGCGCCATCTGTGGGGAGAGGAGTCCATGTTTTGAATCCTTTTTTAATTTTCTTCAGAACTTCTGAAATCTACCGCAGCACTTTATTCTGAGACCGTGATGAACTGGTTACGGCAATGGATTTGCACTCCATTGGGGTCTCTATGCAGATTCGAATCCTGTGTATTATATTTCTCATTGTTCCTGATTTTAGCCCAGTGTCTGTATGTAGAATTCACTTCCTGTTACTACATAGGCACTAATGTCCTTTTTGATAGTAGTAATATCCCTATCTCTGGGCTAGAAGATCTGGTATCGTTTACCATCTGCCCCAGGCATGTCATGACATGTCTAGACAGGTTGATTATCTTTTTTTAAGAAAAAACTACCATGCTGATGTCTCATATTAGACATCAATGTAGAAGATTCACTCTTGTTTTTAAAAAAAACAGAATTGGGGTCTTGAGGGAGGCTGAGGGGGTAATTGAGAGGAGTTACAGGGAGGTAGTCACACCTCGGGTACAGGAAAAAGGTAGATAGGTTACAGACAGGGAACGGAAAGGGAACAGGCAGACAGTGCAGGGATCCCCTGTGGCCATTCCCCTCAAGAACAAGTATACCGTTTTGGATACTGTTGGGGGGGGACGACTTACCAGGGGTAAGCCATGGGGTACAGGTCTCTGGCACAGAGTCTGTCCCTGTTGCTCAGAAGGGAAGTGGGGAGAGGAGGAGAGCATTAGTCATTGAGGACTCCATAGTTAGGGGGACAGATAGGAGATTCTGTGGGAACGAGAGAGACTCGCGGCTGGTGTGTTGCCTCCCAGGTGCCAGGGTCCGTGATGTCTCGGATCGTGTTTTTGGGATCCTTAAGGGGGAGGGGGAGCAGCCCCAAGTCGTGGTCCACATAGGCACCAACGACATAGGTAGGAAAAGGGATGGGGATGTAAGGCAGAAATTCAAGGAGCTAGGGTGGAAGCTAGAACAAACAGAGTTGTTATCTCTGGTTTGTTACTCGTGCCACATGCTAGCAAGGCGAGGAATAGGGAGAGAGAGCAGTTGAACACGTGGCTACAGGGATGGTGCAGGAGGGAGGGATTCAGATACCTGGATAATTGGGGCTCATTCTGGGGTAATGGGACCTCTACAAATGGGATGGTCTACACCTGAAGGGTACCAATATCCTGGGGGGGAAATTTCCTAACGCTCTTCGGGAGGGTTTAAACTAATTCAGCAGGGGGATGGGAACCTGAATTGTAGCTCCAGTGTACAGGAGGTTGAGAGTAGTGAGGTCATGAATAAGGTTTCAAGGTCGCAGGAGTGTACCGGCAGGCAGGAAGGTGGTTTGAAGTGTGTCTACTTCAACGCCAAGAGCATCCGGAATAAAGTGGGTGAACTTGCAGCATGGGTTGGTACTGGGACTTCGATGTTGTGGCCATTTCGGAGACATGGATAGAGCAGGGACAGGAATGGTTGTTGCAGGTTCCGGGGTTTAGATGTTTCAGTAAGATCAGGGAAGGTGGTAAAAGAGGGGGAGGTGTGGCATTGTTAGTCAAGGACAGTATTACGGTGGCAGAAAGGACGTTTGATGAGGACTCGTCTACTGAGGTAGTATGGGCTGAAGTTAGAAACAGGAAAGGAGAGGTCCCCCTGTTGGGAGTTTTCTATAGGCCTCTGAAAAGTTCCAGAGATGTAGAGGAAAGGATTGCAAAGATGATTCTGGATAGGAGTGAAAGTAACAGGGTAGTTGTTATGGGGGACTTTAACTTTCCAAATATTGACTGGAAACGCTATAGTTCGAGTACTTTAGATGGGTCAGTTTTTGTCCAATGTGTGCAGGAGGGTTTCCTGACACAGTATGTAGATAGGCCAACAAGAGGCGAGGCCACATTGGATTTGGTACTGGGTAATGAACCAGGCCAGGTGTTAGATTTGGAGGTAGGTGAGCACTTAGGTGATAGTGACCACAATTCGGTTATGTTTACTTTAGCGATGGAAAGGGATAGGTATGTACTGCAGGGCAAGAGTTATAGCTGGGGGAAAGGCAATTATGAGGCATATAGGCAAGATTTAGGATGCATAGGATGGAGTAGGAAACTGCAGGGTCTGGGCACAATTGAAATGTGGAGCTTGTTCAAGGAACAGCTACTGCGTGTCCTTGACCAGTATGTACCTGTCAGGCAGGGAGGAAGTGGTCAAGTGAGGGAACCATGGTTTACTAAAGAAGTTGAATCTCTTGTCAAGAGGAAGAAGGAGGCTTATGTAAAGATGAGACGTGAAGGCTCAGTTAGGGCACTTGAGAGGTACAAGTTAGCCAGGAAGGACCTAAAGAGAGATCTAAGAAGAGCCAGGAGGGGACATGAGAAGTCTTTAGCAGGTAGGATCAAGGAAAACCCTAAAGCTTTCTATAGGTATGTCAGGAATAAAAGAATGACCAGAGTAAGATTAGGGCCAGTCAAGGACAGTAGTGGGAAGTTGTGTATGGAGTCCGAAGAGATAGGAGAGGCGCTAAATTAATATTTTTCGTCTGTCTTTTTCCTGTGTGAATACTATGTTGTCGAGGAGAATGCCGAGATACAGGCTATTAGACTAGACGGGATTGAGGTTCATCAGGAGGAGGTGTTAGCAATTCTGGAAAGTGTGAAAATCGATAAGTCCCCTGGGCCGGATGGGATTTATCCTAGGATTCTCTGGGAAGCTGGGGAGGAGATTGCAGGCCTTTGGCTTTGATCTTTATGTCGTCATTGTCTTCAGGAATAGTGCCAGAAGACTGGAGACGAGCAAATGTTGTCCCCTTGTTCAAGAAGGGGAGTAGAGACAACCCTGGTAATTATAGACCAGTGAGCCTTACTTCGGTTCTGGGTAAAGTGTTGGAAAGGATTATAAGAGATAGGATTTATCATCATCTAGAAAGGAATAATTTGATTAGGGATAGTCAACACGGTTTTGTGAAGGGTAGGTCGTGCCTCACAAACCTTATTGAGTTCTTCGAGAAGGTGACCAAACAGGTGGATGAGGGTAAAGCGGTTGATGTGGTGTATATGGATTTCAGTAAAGCGTTTTATAAGGTTCCCCACGGTAGGCTATTGCAGAAAATACGGAGGCATGGGATTGAGGGTGATTTAGCGGTTTGGATCAGAAATTGGCTAGCTGTAAGAAGGCACAGGGTGGTGGTTGATGGGAAATGTTCATCCTGGAGTTCAGTTACTAGTGGTGTACTGCAAGGATCTGTTTTGGGGCCACTGCTGTTTGTCATTTTTATAAATGACCTGGATGAGGGCGTAGAAGGATGGGTTAGTAAATTTGTGGATGACACCAAAGTCGGTGGAGTTGTGGATAGTGCGGAAGGATGTTGCAGGTCACAGAGGGACATAGATAAGCTGCAGAGCTGGGCTGAGAGGTGGCAAATGGAGTTTAATGCGGAAAAGTGTGAGGTGATTCACTTTGGAAGGAGTAACAGGAACACAGAGTACTGGGCTAATGGTAAGATTCTTGGTAGTGTGGATGAGCAGAGAGATCACGGTGTCCATGTGCATCGATCCCTGAAAGTTGCCACCCAAGTTGATAGCGTTGTTAAGAAGGCATACGGTGTGTTAGGTTTTATTGGTAGAGGGATTGAGTTTCGGAGCCATGAGGTCATGTTGCAGCTGTACAAAACTCTGGTGCGGCCGCACTTGGAGTATTGCGTACAGTTCTGGTCGCTGCATTATAGGAAGGATGTGGAAGCATTGGAAAGGGTGCAGAGGAGATTTACCAGGATGTTGCCTGGTATGGAGGGAAGGCCTTATGAGGAAAGGCTGAGGGAC